TTCGCAGATTTGTAGCCCCAACCAATTAATCTGCAAATCTGCGAATCTGCGTTTCCTCGAGAAAACGCAGATTTGCAGATTTGTAGCCCCCAACCAATCTGCAAATCTGCGAATCTGCGTTTTTCTCGAGAAAACGCAGATTCGCAGATTCGCAGATTTGCAGCCCCCAACCAATCTGCAAATCTGCGAATCTGCATTTTTCTCGAGAAAACGCAGATTCGCAGATTAGAAATCTGCGTTTTTCTCGAGAAAACGCAGATTCGCAGATTTGAAATCTGCGTTTTTCTCGAGAAAACGCAGATTCGCAGATCTGTAGTCCCAACCAATCTGCAAATCTGCGAATCTGCGAAACCTCAAGAAAACGCAGATTCGCAGATTCGCAGATTTGTTGCCCCAAACCAATCTGCAAATCTGCGAATCTGCGTTTCCTCGAGAAAATGCAGATTCGCAGATTTGAAATCTGCGTTTTCCTTGAGAAAACGCAGATTCGCAGATTTGTAGCCCCAACCAGTTAATCTGCAAATCTGCGAATCTGCGTTTCCTCGAGAAAACGCAGATTTGCAGATTTGCAGCCCCCAACCAATCTGCAAATCTGCGAATCTTCGTTTTTCCCGAAAAAACGCAGATTCGCAGATTTGAAATCTGCGTTTTTCCCGAGAAAACGCAGATTCGCAGATTTGAAATCGCAGATTTGCCTCTCCATGTCACAGATCAAATCATCTGATGGCCTCAAAAATCTACTATTTAAATAGGGGCCTTCGTACTTAGACTGTGTAATTCGGCGAGGAGAATTAAGCAATCTAAATATTTTAAGAAATAGAGGAGCCTTCATATTTAATTAGGCCTTAATATTTAAATTAGTGAATTCGGGAGGGACTTAAATGCCACTTAAACATATATATATATAGATAGTTTAATAATTTACATAATTTAAATCCTGAAAAAGGGCCCCGGTCCCCTCCTCAGCGAGGAGAATTAAATAATGAACAAATTTAAATCTGAGGGGGGGGGGGCCTTCAGATTTAAATAGGGGCCTCATATGTAAATTGTGTGATTTTTTGTTTCCCCCCAGAAGGCAGGAGCTGCCCCCCCCCACTTCAAGATTTGGATTATTTAAAATATAAATTCTCCCCCCTGAACTAAATAATGTATATATGGAAGGGTCTTCATATTTAAATAGGGGCCTTCGTGTTTAAATATTCACCAAGTGTATGCAATTTCATGTGAAGGGGGCTTCATATTTCATTTCTTCATTCGGGGAGGGAATTGAATAATTTACATAAATTATATAAAGAAACTATTTTAGACAATTAAATCCTGAAAGAGGGCCTAGCAGGGGAATTAAATGAAGTTTAAATCTGAGGGTGCCTTCATTTTTACTTATTTAACTTATCTGACTCCCCTCAGAAGCAGAGAGCCCCCCCCCCCGCCCTCCCCCCTTGCAGGATTTAAATTATCTAGCTTATTTACATTAATGTTTTCTGGCCCCCTCCCACCGGGGGAATTCAATCATTTAAATCTGAAGGGGCCTTCATATTTAAATAGGGATCTTCATATAAAAGATTAGCTGTTTCATTCCCTCCAGAAGGGGGGGAGCTACCCCCCCTCCATTTCTTAGGATTTGATGTATTCAAACTATTTAGATTTTTAATTATTTAAGTCTCCCCCCCCTCCCCCAAAGTCAAGAATTTGAATGTGGAGGGGCCTTCATGTTTACATTACTTAATTCGGGGAAGAGAATTAGATAAAGTAAATATGGAGGGGCCTTCATATATAAATAGAGACCTTCATACTCAAATTATTTAATTCGGGGAGATTGTTTAATTAAATCATTTAAAAAACTCAATATTTCTAATATTTTAAATAGTTTAATAAATCCTGATGGGGGGGCGGGGCCTGGCCCCCTCCCGCGAAGGGAACGTAAAAAAAGAAGAGATAATTTAAATCTGATGGGGCCTTCATGTTTCAATAGGGGCTTCATATTTAAAGATTTAAAGTATTGAAACCCCCTCAGAAGGAAGGAGCTGCCCCCCCCCCCTCCGGCCTTTCAGGATTTAGAGTATTTAAAATCTCATTCATTTAATTAGCTTAATTAGTTTAATTAACTAATCTAGTTAATTATTTTCATTATTTTAACTATTCAATTCTCCCACCCGCTTCAAATAAATTAAAGCCCCCCCTTTCAGGATTTACACAATTTAGTTATTCAAATGCATCATGTCGAAGCCTGTCATAGGAAACATCGATGATCGCCGATCTTTTTCTTTAACGTGGGGTTTTGGAGGGGGGGGTAGCATGTATATATATATATATAACAAAAAGGGTAAGGCAAGCAGCACACAGAGTATCTCAAGGGGCTAAGGGTTTAGGGTGTTGTTAGGGTCTCAAGGTGGCCTTGAAAACGTCAAACCGGCGAAAGCCCCAACTTACCCTAAACCTTTAAAACCCCTCACAAGCCTAGTAGACCGATCTGAGTAGCGTCCAGTAGAACCCTAAACCCCAAACCCCTAAACAGTGGGGCTACGCGATGCAGTTCCACGGTTGCGTTTTCGGGGTCCAGGGCCAAAAGCTCTAACCCCTGACCGTGAGCCCAGGCAACAGGCTTTGTCAGGGATTTGCGTGAGTGCCTTTGGGGAGGCAAGGGTTCGGGCTTTGGGGTTTTAGACGGCCTAGTAGGGACACTACTCAACCCTTCTCGGCTCTAAACCCAAATTCTAAACCGTAATTCCTAAACCCTAACCCCTACATCCTGAACCCCTTTCTAGCCTAGGTAGACCCTTGGCACATTTTCTATTTTCCCTTTTTGGGACTTAAGATGGTCATACAGTCTGGAAACTGGGGACAAGATTATTTACTGACTTGTGACTGCGTGGCTGCCTTGGCAAGCGCTGTTGCTGCAATGGCTTTTCGGAAGAATGTCGGAGATGTACTTTTCGCAGCAAGCCGACGCTCTCCTCTTGCTCGGTTGTGGCCAAGCGCCAAAGAGCAGAAATGCCGCGTTTTTCAAGTTTCAAATTCGTTTCAGTAGTTTCAAATTAGTTTCAAAATAGTTTCAAAATCCAGTTGCAAAATCGCTGTTAAGGGGAAACTGCATTTTTCTACGCGCAATTCAAAAAATGAAGGAATCTCAGAGGTTCCTGGTTTTCAAAAAGCGCGGACAAAAACTGCAATTCCCCCTTAACAGCGATTTTGCAACTGGATTTTGAAACTAATTTGAAACTGATTGGAAACTAATTTGAAACTATGGAAACGAATTTGAAACTTGAAAAATAATTACCATATTCCGGACTTTCTGCCCCCATGCTGGCCCCTCACATACGGCCCTCGCGCGCGGGAAGTTGACTTTGGTCAGCAGTGACTAGAGGCCAGAGTTTCCGAAAACTTGCCAGTTTCCAGACAGTCTGGAAACTGGGGACAAGATTATTTACTGACTTGTGACTGCGTGGCTGCCTTGGCAAGCGCTGTTGCTGCAATGGCTTTTCGGAAGAATGTCGGAGATGTACTTTTCGCAGCAAGCCGAAGCTCTCCTCTTGCTCGGTTGTGGCCAAGCGCCAAAGAGCAGAAATGCCGCGTTTTTCAAGTTTCAAATTCGTTTCAGTAGTTTCAAATTAGTTTCAAAATAGTTTCAAAATCCAGTTGCAAAATCGCTGTTAAGGGGAAACTGCATTTTTCTACGCGCAATTCAAAAAATGAAGGAATCTCAGAGGTTCCTGGTTTTCAAAAAGCGCGGACAAAAACTGCAATTCCCCCTTAACAGCGATTTTGCAACTGGATTTTGAACTAATTTGAAACTGATTGGAAACTAATTTGAAACTATGGAAACGAATTTGAAACTTGAAAAATAATTACCATATTCCGGACTTTCTGCCCCCATGCTGGCCCCTCACATACGGCCCTCGCGCGCGGGAAGTTGACTTTGGTCAGCAGTGACTAGAGGCCAGAGTTTCCGAAAACTTGCCAGTTTCCAGACTGTTGATGGACGAAATCCTGCATCACTTTTACTCAAACCCTGAATCTTAACATTGCTGTCCTTGCAATGCTTCGAAAGTGCATGTGTGTGAATGACCGAAATCCTGCATCACCCATATGCGCACGCAACATTGAAATTCGAGGGGCGCGGGGAGCTCGATTGCCAACCGTCGCACACGTGTAACGTAGATGGTCATGCAAGATTTTGTCCATCCACAGTATCCAGGAACATATTTCAGGGGGTTTTAAGGGCCATCCTGGTACCAGGATGGGCTATTATACCTTATAATCCCTTAAAAGGCCCTTTGTAGGGTTCAGTATGGGGATTATAAGGCCTAATAGCCCATCCTTTCTAAACCCTAAACCCTAAACCCTAAACCCTAAACCCTAAACCCTGAACCCTGAACCCTGAACCCTGAACCCTAAACCCTAAACCCTAAACCCATCCTATAGTAGCCCTCTGGAGGAATTCCATGGTCACACCGTGCTTCGCTTCCCATGCGAGAAGAGCCGAGCAGACGTCGACGTCATTGTCATGATGGAGATGCTTAGATACAGGGGGTGTAGGGTTTAGGGTTTAGGGTTTAGGGTTCAGGGCTAGGGTTTAGGGCTAGGGTTTAGGGCTAGGGTTTAGGGTTTAGGGTTTGGGGTTTAGGGTTTGGGGTTTAGGGTTTGGGGTTAGGGTTTTGGCAATGCTTAGCTCAGGGGGTTAGGGCTTCGGTTCTTTTGTTTTAGGGGTGGGGGGGGGAGGGGGGGGGGGTTAGGCTTGAGGATTTTAGGGTGAGGACCAGCTTTCTGGGCTTTTTTTTGTTTTCAGCTTTCTGGGCTTTAGGGATTTGGGTTTGTGTTTTTTTGGGGGGCTCAGGTTTAAGAAGGGCACCCGGGTTGCACGTCCGCGAAACATACCCCGAAACATACCCCGAAACATACCCGCGAAACATACCCCGAAACATACCCGCGAAACATACCCCGAAATTGCCAGCCAAAGTTGCTCACGAAGCAAGGCTTTGGCTCAAGTTCTTTTGCCTGCCATGTCCTTCTTCATCTGGACTGAGCAGCGGCTGGCGGCCACTGGGTTCCGTGACACCTATGTGGTGAGTGTGGGCACGAGGTCGAAGGCCGTGTGTCGGCGGCAGGACAAGGAGGAGGCGGAGCGCATCATGAAAAAGCTGGAGGCCAGCCAGCTGAGCACGGTGCCGGAGCTCAAAAACTTCCTGAAGCAGGTGCTGCAGGCGAGTGCGTTGCATAAACCGCATGCTTCGTGCAAACACTTTGGGGCCTTTTCCCTGCAGGACGAGGCCAAGCCAGTCCTGAGCGAGGACCTGCTGCAGGCTGCAGGGGAGAACAAGACTGCAGCCGCCGTGCCAAAGCGTGTTCAAGAGGAGGCAGCGTGCTGTTCTCTTGTTCTAAGGCGTTCCAAAACAGTCCCCCCCCTTTCCCAGAGCCTTGCAAGTGCCGACGCAAAGGCAGCTGTTTTGGCGTCCGACGGCATGCCTGCCTCAAGCTTGCCGAAGGCAAGATGGCAGGGTATCCAGTTTTTCTCCACCTGGCCTCGCAGAAGTGATTGCTAGGATCAGCCGGCCGAGAGCACGGCCCAAAAGGAGCCGGAGCCGGCCGAGAGCACGGCCCCAAAGGATATGAAGAAGGACTTGGCAGTGCGGTTGTTTCGCATGTGGGGATGCGTCCTCTGCGTGTTTGTCCTCTGGCTGTCCGCCCATGCTCGTGCAATTGATTTCTAGGACGAGCCACCCGCTAGCACGCCCGAAAAGGCTGCGAAGAAGGAGTGGCAATGCGTGTTTGCGGGGGGTTGCGTCGTCTGAGTTCTATTTGGTTTTTGACCTGGATCTCAGTCTGTGGCAGGACCCCATGACTCCGGAGAAGACGAATCGCACCACCTCTTTCGTCTACAAGATCTGGGGCAGTCCCAAGACCAAGAACCCTTGCAAGGAGCCGGTTGCGAGTGAAAAGGCCAAGATCACCGTAGCTGGTACCAAGGTGGGGGGCGGAAACCTTTTGAAGCCCTGAAGTATCTTATGGCTCTTGAAGGCTTGAAGGCTCATGGGTACTTGTAAGTGGGGTTATAAGTAGTTGTAAGTCCCTGGAAAAGGGTTAAACCATACTTACCCTAGACTTGTAACCCTACCTATAAGTACCCACAGGTCTACAAGCCTGGCAACCCTTTGGGCTTCTGCTGGGAGAAGTACAAGGAGTGCAAGATCTGCTCCTTGGAGAAGTGCCCCGCAGGTGTGAAGCAAAAGCGTCACGGCAGCTCGTGCAGTTTTTGCTGGAATCGCTTGCAGTATTACTGCCGGCGGTATGGGCTGAAGCACACGTCCATCGATCTGTTGACTGATCTCCAGCGTGGTTATCTCGTGAGTGACAGCAAGCGTCTGCGAGAGCAAGTGCTTGCAGAGGTGGCCGCGAAGGCCGCCCGCAAAGCGGCCCGCCGAAGCCGAGAGAATGCCGCCGCTTCGGAAACATCGTCCCAATCTTCGGCCCCAAAGAAGCGCAAGAGGGACCGCGCCAAGACATCCGAGCCGAAGCAGACAGCCAAGCCAGACAGCCAGGCAACATCCGAGCAAGTCCAGCAGAAGAAGAAGAAGACCAAGTGGCGGCATGAAATTGATAATCTTGTACGCCGGCCCTGCAGGCGGCGGGTCCAACAACATGGTGCTCGCCGCCCCTGCCTCCAGCGCTGCCTGCATGTCAGTCAAGCTGCCAATGGTGTTCTCTCTGGCGTAGTCGGCCACCCAGCGTCTTTGCAGGCCAAATGCCCCATCGCATCTTCCTTTTCCGTGGTGCTCAGCATGGAAATTGAGAGTGGCGGTCTCGAAGCGCCCCTCGCATTGCTGCTTCACCTCCCACGCGAACTCATAACAGCGAAAGTGAGGCCCACAGTCGGCCCATATACTGAGTTCCGTGTGCTGCTCTGTGAGTGGAAGGCGGCGAAGCAAGTCTCGCAACGCGGCAACTGCATGACTGGCATCATGGTTGAGGATCTGGCTGATCCGCCGAAGTCGGCGGAAATCCGCAAACTGGACGCGGGGCCTACATCCTTGTCCATTGAGTATACCTATTGCATCCAGTTCCAGCAAGGCAGGCGTGGTGTCGAATTGTACAATCTTGTTTTCTCGGACAGGGTTCGTGGGGAGCGCATTCTGCCTCTGGACTTTGTTACAGTGAAGACTGATGCTAAATGGCGGCTGAGCTATCGCCAAACTCAGCCCGAAAAAGACCCTCTGAATGTGGCAATCCTCGCCCGCAGACGCGCTAAACAGCTCTCCTGCGCTTCGCCAGAGAGTGCTCACCGGCGAGGTTCCTACATGAAAGCTCTGCTGCGGAGGGAGCGAGAAGCTGCAAAGCGTAAGGCCAAGGTCTTGCGCACCAGAGCCGCTCTAGCAGTCAACTTGGCTGAAAGGTCTGATAGCAGTAGCTCCAGCAGCAGCAACAGCAGCGCGGAGTGAAACCAGAGTTTCGAAGCTTCCTTTGCAGTGGTTTAGGGTTTCGGCTTTAGGGCAGCCTTAGCAGCAGCAGTAACGGAAGTGGAGTGACACCAGCCTTCCGTAGCTTACTTTTTTGGGTTATAGGGTGTCGGATTGACGGGTCAGGGTTGAGGGGGTTGAGGGGTTGAGGGGCTTGTGTTGAGGGCTTGGTGTCTTTGAGTCTGTCTGCCTGTGCGGCTTCAGGGATCAGGGCGGGTTTGGGTGTGCATTCAAGCTAAAGCAGACTGCCAGGATTGGGGCTCGGGATTTGGAAATGGGTCTTGGGAAGCTGCCGCGAAACATACCCCGAAACATACCCCCGAAACATACCCCGAAACATACCCCGAAACATACCCGCGAAACATACCCCGACCCCAACACGTGTCGCGGGCCTCCCCATTAAAATACAAACCCATTTTGGTTTTTTCGGGATTCAGGGTTTTAGAACCTGGCGCTTTATGGGCTGCAGGACCCTAGGCCCGAAACCCTTAAACCACTTCTAGGGTCCTTAAGGGATGCTTTAGGCTTTAGGCTTTAGGCTTTAGGCTTTAGGCTTTCGGCTTTCGGCTTTAGGCTTGAGGCTCTAGGCTTTAGGCTTTCGGCTTTGGGGTTACGGTTTCGGGGTACCAAGAAAATGTTAGGGAAGCTTAGGGAGCCTTTGGGAGCCTTGGGTTACATACCCCGCTGGAACCCCCCCCCCCTCCCTTAAGAACCCTATAAGCCACTTGCGGGCGCCTTTAGGTATGCTCCATGGTAGCAGGGCTTCTGATCTTGGGGCACCCAGGGGTAGGTTTGAACATATTTTTCTCAACCTCGCAGGCATCTCAAATCCTGAAGCGTGAAGAAGATCCTCCCCCCCAAAAAAAACAGAAAGCTCCGAACCCTCCAAGCCTTGCAATCAACGCCCTAAGCCCTTGAACCCTACACCCAAAACCCTGAACCCGAAACCCTGGAGCCAAACCCCCACACCCTCAACCCTAAACCGAACTTGGGCTACAAGCAAGCTGAAATCCCGGCATGCCTTGCTAGAGATTTCGGCCGCTCCCGCCACTACTCCAAGACAGAGGGCTGAGATGTCTTAGGGTTCAGCCGAGGTTCCTCAAGGGTTTAGGGTTTAGGGTTTTGGTTTTATTGCGCTTAGCCTTTGGAGGGTCAAAAGGTTAACAAGGGTTTGGGCTGGGTAGGCCCTTGGGTGTTTTTTGGTATGTTGTCTCTTTTTGAGCTCAAGGTTTCGGGGCAAAGGCCCTGTTCCTTACATGGGAATTTCCGAAAACAGGGGTACCCTTTTGGGGGTCCCTTTAAGGGGATTATGCTCCATCTGGGGCATAAAGGGGACACTACTATGTTGGGACATGCACACATGGCACTGAGGAAAGACAGCAACGGCAAGTGGTGGCTGTACCAGGCATCCGACAGGGAGTCTCTACACCTGCTAGACCAGGGGGTTTAGGGTTTAGGGTTTGGGGTTTAGGGTTTAGGGTTTAGGGTTTAGGGTTTAGGGTTTAGGGTTCCGGGTTCCGGTTCCGGGTTCCGGGTTCCGGGTTCCGGGTTGCGGGCTCCTTAACACCCAAACCCTGCAGGCCTAGAGCCTCAAGCCTAGCGGGCAATTACGTTGTAGGGCCCGTATGGTTTAGGCCACAGTCTGAGGGAAGTCCTTTAATATTTTTCTTTTTTGGGAAAGGGTTCTGAAGAATGGTGTCTAGGGTATATATGGGGCATATAAGCGGTCCCCTTCTAAGGGCCCATGCTAAGGGGCCATGTCGACTACTTAAGACTCAGGGTTCGGAGTCCGGGTTTGGGGTTTAGAGGGAGACCAGGGTGTACTCTGTCTTCTCGGAGTGAAGTTTAGGGTGTAGGGTTTAGGGTTTAGGGTTTAGGGTTTAGGGTTTAGGCACGTGAGATGTGGCTGCAAACTGGTATCAGGAAGTGCTTGTGTAGAGGATGCAGACTTCAGTTCTTTAAAGGGTTGAAGCACCTTCAAGCCTGGTGCTCTCAAACCCTCAAAACCCTGAACCCTGAAACCCAGACCCTTAGCCCAAAACCCTCAAGCACACGCCCTAAGGATTAGGGTTTAGGGTGTGGGGGGTTGTGGGTTTAGGGTTCCTACCGAAGCACACCTTACTAGCTGTATTCCCAAAGGCCTTGGACCAAAATAAAGGATAAGAAGCCCTACATTGCCCTTGTAAGGGAGCATGTTTATTTACTTTTTGGTGGGTTCTTAAGCAAGTAGTAGCAAACCCCGACCCCCAAACCCCGAACCCTAAACCCTAGACCCTACAGCCCTAAATGTAACCAGCCCCAAACCCCAGAGCACTACTCTATCCTGCTCAAAGGCAGCACCGGAGCTTTGGCCATGTTGTACATGTATTCAACTGAGCAGGTGGAAAACGTGACCGTACAGTTTTTAGGACTTATGGTTTAGGGCCTTTAGGGTTTCCGGGTTAGCGTTCAGGGTTCAGGCTTAGGGGTACGAACGTGAAGATGATTGGAAGAGGCTCATGGAAACTGCCCATGCTGCCTCCACAGCTCAACCACGGCGCCAGCTGGGCCAGCTGTGGGGTCGGTGACTCTGATGATTCTGCCAGTTAGGGTTTAGGGTTTAGGGTTTAGGGTTTAGGGTTTAGGGTTTAGGGTTTAGGGTTTAGGGTTTAGGGTTTAGGGTTTAGGGTTTAGGGTTTAGGGTTTAGGGTTTAGGGTTTAGGGTGACAAAGTTGACCAGGCTCAAGCTCAAGCTCAAATACGTCGACTGCCCGGCTGCCTCTACCAGGTCCAAGCTCCAGCGCGTGGAGGTCGTCAAGCTCTAAGGGGCCGCCGATGGCTGCAAAACTTGCAACGTGGTGCGCTCCGGTGGTTTTACAATCTATGTCCCCTGTGCCATTTTTTGGTTTGTATAAAACCCAAGAGGATATTTAGAGTATTGTCTTTATTGAGGTTCTATGGGGAGTATAGTAATTGCTCAAGATGTAAGCACTAAGTTGTCTACGGCTACCCCTATAAGCCTAAGCCCTGTCAACCCTTTCAACCCTTTCAACCCCATAAACCCTACAAACCCTGTAAACCCGAGACCCCTATATACAAGCACTGCAAGCCTTACGCCCTAAACCCTCAACCCTAAACCCAAGCCCTGACAAAGCCCTATTAGCCTTAAAATCCTATAAACCCTATGCACCGAAACCCTCACCCTATACCCTTACAAGCCCTATAAACCCTCAGCCCCAAATGCCTAAACCCTAAACCCTAGCCCTAAACCCTAAACCCTAAACCCTAAACGCTAAACCCTAAACCCTAAACCCTAGCCCTAAACCCTAAACCCTTAGAAGCCCTCCTCAGCCACATCGATGCAGGTCGAGGAGCCTGCAGAGCACGGCGAGCACTTCCTGGACATCCTCGAGCCGACGATCGGGGAGCCTCCGCCGGGTTTAGGGTTTAGCGTTTAGGGTTTAGGGTTTAGGGGGTTTTGAGTTGTGTGTTTTGGGCGTTTTGTGGCTTTTCGGGTTTGTTGTCTTGTTCGGTGCTTTTCTTGGCTCAGGGGGTTAACGAAGTTCCCTGGGCCTTCAGGTAAACCCTAAAATGTCAGTCCTAAACCCTCCAGGGGCTGTAGGGTCATTGAGGCAAAACTTAAACCTTAAAATCTAAGCGCGAAAACCCTAAAATCCTAAACCACAAACCCTAAGCCCCAAGAACCTAAAGCCGTGAACCCTGACTGTTTGGGCAATCTTGCATCTGCCACCCGTCCCACCATCTCGCCTGGGGGTTCCGGGCTTCGGGCTTCGTTCGTACCGCTTTTGCCAGAAATCGGCTGAGCTGGTATAGGGGTCCGGGGTTTCGTGTGTAGGGTTGGTTTATGTGGGTCCGCAACGCCGCACGGAACGCTCTGCGCGCACGTCACTGGGCGGTGGGCAAGACATTCTTTTGGTTTTGCACTTCACGAGAACTTGTCAGATTCGGAGTCTGGACGTTTCCGTGCTTGATTGACGTTGGGAGTCCATCGAATACTGCGTCAAATACTGGAAGTTGGGCCATCCCGAAGGACAAATGGCACGAAGGATCTTGGGGAGACTTAGAAAAAATCTTGCTAGCAACCATTCAGGCAGCACTTGCGAGCGACACGAACCGTGCCATGACTTGTGACCTGTGTCATGAGTGGTGCTGTTGGTGCATGCTCCAGATGGCTTCTGGAGCGTGATCCAAGGCGCCCTCTGTTCTTGGAAGGCAAGCGTCTGTGTGTGCTGGCTTGGAACAGGTCTCAAAAGTTTCTGGACAGGTTGGAGCAGACACATTGTCACAAGTCCAGCAGCTACCCCCCCTCCCTCCCCCCGCCCCGCATGATCCCCCTGCCCACCTCAGGCAACATCAAGACCGCGACAGAGCTGTCCGTGTAATCGAAGCCCACATGCGGGCGAGCCTGCGCATCGGCACGAAGCCAATACGATGAATAACATGCTACCCACCAGCTGTTCTCTCCAGATCAATCTGCGCAGCTGAAAGAACACATGAAGTATGCTTTTCTGCTACTGTAACACAAAATAAGCGTGCAGTCGGTAAACGAGCCCTACAGGCCATCGGCCCATGGAAACCCACGCAACTTCACATTGAGCATGTTGGTACCAGACCGGTTTCAGGGTTTGGGGAGTCGGGCGTGTGAATTTTGATGCGCAGAATTTTGTTAGGGTTTGGGGTGCAGGGCATGCGAAAGTATGATGCGCAGAGTTTGATGCACTTTCGCCAAGAAAGTGCAACGAGACAACAAGAAGACTGAAACCCCGCCGTCAGCCCCATTAAACCTAAGCCTCAGACCCTAAATCCTCAGCCCTTAGCTCGTCCTTGAAGGGCTTTGGGGATGTAGTTGGGGGTGCATTCATGTCTGATTTGCCCAGAGACTCCAATATCCCAAGTCATAACCCCTAACTACGGTAAGGGATACCAAGCCGTCTGGGTTGGGGGTTTACGGTTTAGGATTTACCCGAGACCTCAAAACCCTA